TGAAGTCTGTTAAAAATATTTTGAGTAAATTACTAGGATTCTGACCATTCCATGTTAATAACATTCGTGAGTATTTTTTATCTGTAAATTTTACGCAGGTCTTCGCCCTTTGTTATCTACTACATTTTCAGACTTAAAAGTTTGAAACGTTTTCGGTGGGTCGCGTTATCAACAAACAAACGTATGGTGTGTTGTCGTCTCATTCGCGCACGCCTTCATCTCTTTCTTACTTATGATTAAGTAAGAACAGCTGTTTCGAAACGGAATCTATAGCATGCGCGTGCGCAAGATGTTCTAGGGTTGGCAGGTTTGTAAGGTTAAGGTTTTTTACATTACAAAATAATAATAATAAAAAAAACTCTCGTCAACATTTATCCATAAGAGATGGAATATTAGATATAATAATTTTATACATCAAATAATGTGAATTTGCTACTATAAGTAGTGTCTTAAATATTGGTTAATTATCCATTTTTTGGTTAAATTACATATTTAGTATTTGAATTTATGGAAAGATGGTAATTGATAATTTCGATATAAAAACTATGACGTCATACCACTATATTTTCTAAAGTTTCTAAAGAAATGTTAATTACAACTCTTAAAAATATTAAATTGAAAATTTTTAAACACCCGAAACAAAAAAAAAAGGTGGTGATCTTCGAACTGGCTGAAAAGATTATCTTGAATCACAGCTAAGAAAACTCTCGATCAAATCACTTTTCAAACAAAACTAAATCTAATTCGGTTCATCCGTATCTACGATGCCACAGACAGAAGCAGATATATAGATTAGATACACAGATTAAACATATAACCTGAAAATCCTCATTTAAGAAATTTATCTATATGTAGTTAATATAGCGCAAGTTATTATTGCTCGGATAAAAACAGAAGGCAGTCAAACATTAAATCCAATATTTTTACTTTATCTATTAGGACTAGTATGGTTTATCTCCACAACGTAAGCCTCTTGCGTACAATATCTTTAATCTACGAAAAGGATGGACGGCAATATTTTACCTGCATTTATTATAAGCATTTAAAACAAAAGTTTTTTTTTTACGTGGTAGAGCCATGCTGAAGCTATATTAGTAGTATAGTTGTAGCACGAATGGGTCGGCTTAACCGGGGAAGAACCGCGATCTCACAGAATACCAGCGTCAAATAGCAGCTTAACGCTGCTGTGTTTCGTATGGTGAGTGTAGAGAACCGGAGTCCCTTTTTACTGGAAACGAGGCATTCCATCTTAGTCCTCACGGGTGACAACGCATCTGCATTTTCATTCGTAATCGAAGATAGGTGTGGATGACTATGGGCCACAGCAACCACTTACCATCAGGTGGACTGTGTGCTAGTTTGTCACTCTATCCTATAAAAAAAGTTACATCTATATATAATATATGAATAAATAAAAACTTGCAAGTAAAATAGATGTTAGTACCGATATTGGAGCTTACTTATTCTCAACGTTAATGCAGAGCTTTTTAAAAGAGGATCTCTAATTATATATAAAGAATGTCAAAAAAATACCGCAAATATTTTTTCGTTTGTGGCAACCCTACAGAAACAGCAGCAATTGTGGGAGTCAGCTGCTAAATGCACAAAAGGACACTCCCGAACATCGCAGCTGTTTCTTTTGTGTTTTTGCACACTTTAATGCTAGTTCCGCGGGACAAATAAGCAGGAAACAGCATAACAGACATAAGTACAGCCCCAATAGCTGCTCAATGAGTTTGCAGTTTGGGTTCGGATTCCAGACTCTCAGTTAGCGTTGGTGCGATTCGGTCTGCCTAACAACTTCATATGTGTGACTAATTAAAACTAAAAGAGGTGGAAGTACTCAATTCAAATATTTTTTTTATGTGTGTTACCTCAGAACTTTTTTCTAGGTAAACCGATTTTGATGAATATTTTTTTTTTATTTGAAAGCTGGTGCTTCCCATGTAGTCCCATATAAATTTGATCAAAATCTGACCAGTAGTTTTTGAGTTATCTTTAAATAATGCGTATTTCATTGTCGTCACCTACATTGACGATGTTCTCATTTTTTTTTTCTTAAGAAAGTCTGTTGACAATTTTTTATTTATTTTACCACTTGTGTTCATTAATTACAGCATAATATCAAATATCCATTGCCTAACATAATCAAGCCTATCACATACATTGCCTCATATTATTGAGTTTGTAATCGGGAAGATTCTGCTGTCCATCTCTGGTTTAATTTCCTTCTGTCGACGCTTACGCAGGGTTCCTCACAACATCTAATTGCAATTAAAAATTTCATTGGTGCCGGCGAGGATTGAACCCGGGTTGTTCGCGTACTGTGAAAATTACAACGAGCTCTTAGCCCCCGAGCTGCCACGGATATACCCCTGAACTATTACTTATTAAATTAACAAAAAGATTCATAAAAATCGGTTACAATTGGCGAAGATACCAAAAACAATACAGATTTGTATTTCATCTTTATTGGAAGTCAGCTAATAAAATGAAAATACAAGACATTTATTATATTTATTTATCTGTGGCATCATGTAGGTTATATTGCAGATGTCGCACATTATGTTCTATATATTTACTAATTAAAGAAGTCCAAAAACAGAAACAACTCGTTATTACTTATTAGAAAAGGTGCAGCAAACAGCTGTTTTACCAACAGATGTCAGATGCAGATGGTCAACACAGCCGCTTCGATATTAAATCTTATTTCGTAACATTAAAGTTTATTTTGTTTTCTGATTCTTCATCCAACGGTTTGATTTAAATTTGGGATTATAATTTAGGTTATTACTTATTAGATGTTTTATAAAAAAACTAAGGTAACTCACCAAGTATGTGAGACTTCACGGAGTAAACCATTTTCGGTGTTTTAAAAAAACAAACTTAACGATTTAACATTGCTAAAACAATATTTAAAAACATTACTTATAATATTATTAACAAACTGAAAACCAATTCTAAAATTATTATAAATTATACTTTTAAAACAAAACAAAGGCGACAATTCAAAGTGCAACAGACAACTAAAACTAAAATGAAACACAGCAAGACGTCGGATTGATTAACATTTTTAAAACACTGAGGGTAGTAGACAATTTTGGGATCAATTAATTTTGAAACTCCAATAAATTGCTAAATTTAGTTATTTATTGTGTACACGGGAGTAATGTTTTAAATATATAATATCTTATTTCAAAAATTAGGCAGTTACAATAGTAGACCATAGTAACTCGAGTAGTTTTTCGAGACTGAAAACAATGACAGGAATAATAATTTAACTAAATAAAAAAGTATTTATTATACATAATATTTGCTCCTATGGCCACAACTATACCCAAGGGATCATACATCAGAACCCACAATTTTTTGGCAGACTACAAAACAGGCGAAAGTTATAATCAACTGCGTGGTTTTTTGTTGCATACTTATATATTATGCGATTTGTTCGCCAATTGTAAATCGGTTTTAATGATTATTTTTTTAATTAAATAGGCTATAACTATAACCTCATGGGACCTCTTAAATTTGTAGAAAAAATCCAACCCTTAGGGTGGAAAAATGAAAGATGGAGGTTTTAATGTTACTATATAGACTTACTATATGACTGCCTCGTTGTTCTAGTGGTGGTGGTAGCAGTGCGACTTCTGATCATGAGGTCCCGGGTTCGATTCCCGGGTCGAGCCAAAAAATCAATTATTGAGTCTTTCCATCAAGAAATTCTCAGTAGCTGCCCGGAGTCAGGAATTTGGCGGCGTCTGACCCCCGTGCCTCGGGAAGCACGTAAAGCCGTTGTGGTCCTGCGCCTGATCTCTCTCCGGTCGTGTCGGAGTACCGTCCCATCGGACTATGAGAGTGAGGCAATAGAGAGTGCACCTGTGCTTGCGCATACACTAGTGCACTATAATCCTGTCCTGCGCAGATGGCTAATGTTCTTTGAGACTGGCCATTAAGTTGACATTTTCGCTGGTATTCTGTGAGAACGTGGCCCTTTCAGTGTCAGTCGATTATAAGGGAGGCGCTGTTGAGTGTAGGCCATCTCCTTTTTTTTTTTATAGAAGAGTGGGCAAACGTGCATGCGGCTCACCTGATTGAAAGTGACTACCACCGCCCATGAACAACCGCAACACCGATGATTTCTTGATTGCCTCTCACTATGCCCACGCTACGATAATACATAATGACATTTAAATATAATCAGTGTAGGTATATTCCGTTTTTGAAAATTCTGATTTTTCAAAAGTCGTAGAATAAATAATTTTTTTAAAAGATAGGAATTATGGTCTGAAAAATTTTGGTATGTAAATTACAATTAAAACTGTGTACATAAGGAGATAGCTGGAGATTGCAATATTTGATTTTTCAATTGTCGGAATTGGTATAATATATACTTTCAGATACGATTTTAAAGACAGACAGATAGCGAACAATAAAGAGTTCGCTATCTGTCCGTCTTTAAAATCTGCATTTAAACCTAAGTCCGTTAAAATCGTTTGGTTCGCAATCTGCTTCCTGAACCTACTACGATTTGTATACTATATTTATGATTTACAAGTTTTATGTATGTATAAATAAATATAAATCGTTAAATTTACATTATTTTTTAAATTATTTAAATAAATAAAACCTTATTTATTCTTCATAATAAAAAAAAAACTTTTATGGCAGTTAGAGTATATAATACTTAGTTATGTATACTAAATAGAACTATAAAGAATAATTATCTAAGTACAACAGGCTGTTGAAATATGTATCGATATCTTAAAAAATATAGTTTTTGTTTTTTATTGCAGGCTTATTTAATTTCTTATCAACAAGCAAATGTGTAAATATAATGAAATCGTTAGAAACAAAAAATTTGAATAATCATAAATTATAAGTTAGGGGAGATAAAAGTATAGGGAGCATATATTCTAAAGTAGATATTACAATTTTTTTTTTACATAGAAAACAAGCAAAGTCGCATAAACGGCCAAGGAAAAATTAAAGTAGACGCTCACCAAGTCCCATCTTTTTCTTAATTTTCTTCAAAACCTTCATTTTGGATCCTTTCTTATCCTTTACCGGCGTCGTCTCCGGTTCCAAAGCCATCGGCGGTAAGACCAGGGTCTGAGGCGGCATCGGTGCCCCGTGCCCTGAAGCCCTAGGACACGCCGGGCAATGGCAGGCCCCCCTCGCTTGCCTAACACTCATACAACCACTTACACCCATCATCGGTCTCGATTGTTCTTTTACTTTGAACAATCGTCTACTTCTTAATTCATGTCAAACTATAAAACACAGTCACGAAAAATGTATCACGAAGCGATAAAATTAAATTTTATAAGTCACGAGAGCATAACGCGGATATTTGGAACGCAACGCGTGCGACACCCGCTCGCTACGAGGTTTCGCGGCGGAGTGACTGTTCGTACTCTGTGGCGGAGTGGCGAACGGAGCCGCTCCGTCGGAGCGTCACGCTCACGCGCTAAAGGGCCCGGGTTGCGTACGCACGAATCCCTAATTGTGGGGTGACTATGATTTACAATTAATTTTGAAGATTATAATTACATTAGTTAATGCTACGTTGTAAACTCTGTTAAATTCGACAGCAACGCTAATTACTATCAGGCAGACGTGGGTACGACTTTTCATTGACTCCCATCGAGTTGGGGGTTGATACGTATTTTTACAGAAAAGTTACACTATTATAAGCACACACACAATGTTACAATATGCGGAAGCGCGTAATTTTTGAGAAAAAAGTAATTGAAAATCAATTATTCTTACATTCTTTATGTCTAAACCTAAAATAAAACTGACGCCATTTTTTAGTGTTATTGTCAGTAGGGATGTCGATTCTTTCCGTAAAAGGTCGATTTTTAGATTGATTCAAATCGTAAACACTTTGTGTGTGTGCTTATAATAGTGTAACTTTTCTGTAAAAATACGTATCGACCCCCAACTCGACGGGAGTCAATGGAAAGCTAAGCCACCTCTCGTATCGTTTAAAAATATTGATCACAACATGCACGGAGAAATAATATTTAGTGCAAGGGATTCGCGTATGTTGTAATAGGATTGCGGTAAAAATAGAATTGTAAATTTTTATGTAGAATTCGTATAACGATCAACTAAATATTAGTTAATTAGCAGAACCAGGCGTTACTTTACGTAAATCAATTAGGTATAAGACGTTAGATATTAATTAGCTTGCGCGGATCTTAAGCAAATTAATTTCTAACAAATGTAAAGTATTACTTATTATTATAAAAAGCATAATATGTAAAAATAAAAGCTACTGTAACTTACAACATAAAAATTTAAAACACATAACTACAAATACTTTACAGATAATGTGACTAAACCTCGAAAAATCTATATTCTATCACGGTGGCCACGTCGACTCATCACGACACTGATAAAACCTTATCTTAGAATAGTTCTGGGGGCTTCTACGGTTCCAAAGGCGCCGCGACTTGGCGCCATAGATCTCGACGAGATACGCCAAAAAGTAAGAATATTTTTTTTCGATATCTCGCTTAGTTTCCGAGATATCGATAATCAAAAATATATTAAATCGTGGCTCTGTAAGAATCGTAGTCGTGCCCAGTTCTGAGTTCAGTAGTTATATCACGCAAAGAAACTCCAAGCAACTATCTTAACCTGCCATAAGGGAAGGACCACGTCTCAGAATCATATTATGCCATCACAATGAAAAACAAAGAAAATTTTAGTTTGCTCAGTTGTCGCAAATGATAAAATAGTTATATAGCGGAAGTTTGGGAATGATTCTCGGAATGAATCAAAGGAATCGTGTAAACTTACAGCATGTATACTAACCCTACTGCTGGACACAGGCCTTTGCTCATTTCCGAAAGAGTTAAATTATTCACAGTAGAACCAAATTAACCGACATAGCCCAAGAATGAGTAAGGTAAAGTGGCAATGGGACCTTACACTAGTAAGTGCAGGACACCCTCAACTACATGAAGTGACGTCAGAACAATACAGAAAAATCGATGGATGCTTGGCTTAAGCCGTGTTTTGGGGCACTCTTTACTTGTTTCGTGGCGTATATTCAGTAGTGGACTTGTGACGGGTCGATATTATAAGACGATAAAGATGAATTATTTCATGATGTATCAGTTTTTTTTTAATGTAAAGTATATTGTTCAATTTGGGGCTGGTATTGACACCTAGACTCGGAGTGTTTATGATTGATTGACAATTATAATAATAGAACAGTATATCCATTTCACACTTTCATTTTAATAACCAAATAAATAATGTATCAATGTGAAATTTAATAATGTCATAACGACTAATGAATAATCGTTTAAATAATAAAAGTACAATAACACGAAAAAGTATTTTTAATAAAAACATATTTATTCATACACCATTTATTATATTATTCATGAAATTCTGAAACAGTGATTACCCATTATAATAAGAAAAATCAAGGTCACCCTATCTAACGCAGACCATCTCTTTTTGGCGCATTACAATCGAATGAGATCGAGCAATAACGTTTTCAGCTGTCGTGTAACAACTGTTAGCCAGTTTCACCATTTCATACTAAACACCTTGTGGCCAACTTCGCCATTATATCAAACATTTGTATTTTTTATTTACTACGTGGTAGGGCTCCATTCCATGCATAGGAATTCCTATATCCTATACAATATGGTAAAGCCATGCTGCAACTATATTAATTATATAGTTGTAGCACGAATGTTTCGACTCGACCGTGGAAGGACCACGCTCTCACAGAACACCAGCGTAAAATAGCAGCTTAACGCTGCTGTTTTTCGTATGGTGAGTATAGGGAACCGGAGAACCTTTTTACTGGAAAAGGGGCATTCCATCTTAGTCTTCACGGATGACAGCGCATCTGCATTTTGATTCGCAAACGAGGATAGATGTAGATGTCCATGGGTGACAGCAACCACTTACCAACAGGGTTAAAAATTAATTATTAATAAAGAGTAACGTAACTACCCTGGGGTTGCCAGTTGTTCATGAGCGGCTTTTTTCCACCTTTTTCTAGGTGGACCGATTTCGATGATTCTTCTTTTAAGATTTGAAAGCTGGTGCTTCACATGTGGTCCCATATTAATTTGATCAAGGTCTGACCAGTAGTTTTTGAGTTATCCTTAACAATTTATATTGAAGTCGGTTGTACATTTTTTTTTAAATTTTACCACTTGTTTCCTATTCAGAAAGCAAACTTTGCTAATGGAATTCTGAACTCCAAAGCTAATTTAACAAAACAAAACTTTAACCAATTTAACAAAGTAAGGTACGCGACGCGATAGCACAAAATTAATATTACCTACCTAGTACTAGCGATAGCGCGTTTACACTTGCGAGTATTGTCTGTTGTTGGAATTCCATTGTTTAATTGATTGATAACACTGCACAGGTACGCATTCTTACACTTTTTAACCGACTTCAAAAAAAGGAGAAGGTACTCAATTGGACTGTTTTTTTTTATGTGCAGCTGGTAAAATTTTATCAAGATCAGACCAGTAGTTTTTGAGTTACCTTTAATAATGCGTATTTAATTGACGCCGACTACATTGATTTTTTTTACAACAAAAGGGGCAAACGAGCAAACGGCTCATCTGATGGTAAGTGACTACCGCCGCCCATGAAGAACTGCAACGCCAGGGGAATTGCAGGTGCGTTACCGGCCTTTTAGAAAGGAGTAAACTCTTTTCTTGAAGGTCCCTAAGACGTATCGGTCATGAAAAATAGCTGGTGGTAAACTATTAAACAGAGAGGTCATACGCGGAAGAAAACTCCTATTGGAACCTACAGTGGTGAACCGCCAAGCATCCAGATGGTGTGGATAATGATGATGCTCTCATTTTATTTATATTGAAGTCGAATGTACAAAATTTTTAATTTTACCATTTGTTTATTTATTTAATTAGTAACGTGACACTCAGTGCGATTTTGTTTTCATAATAAGCCAGCACTCGACAACTATCCCAGCAGATGGCAAGTGGTGATGCAGCCGAAGATTGCAAAACGTATTTATTACCTTATCATAACAAAAGCATATTAACTCTTGCGTTGAAGTCACTCATTGTTACTTACTCCCACGAGAGTTACAAAATGGCCCTGCCATTGTTTTTCAATGGCATTTGGAATCATCAGTGTCAAATACTGGTGTTTCACATTTCCCATCACACGCACATAGTATAATAGGATATTTTGGGACATTTCATCTAAGTCACCAGTGTTGAAAAACTTATCTGCATTTTCTCTTTTTTTTTTTAACTTTTTTTTTTAATTTTATACGTGGTAGAGTCACGCTGCAGTTATAGTAGTAGTATAGTTGTAGCACGATTTGGTCGGCTCGATCGGGGAAGGACCACGCTCTCACAGAATACCAGCGTATAATAGCAGCTTAACACTGCTGTCTTTCGTATGGTGAGTGTAGAGAACCGGAGGCCCTTTTTATTAGAGAAGAGGTATTCCATGTTAGTACTCACGAGTGACAATGCATCTGCAATTTGATTCGCAAACGAGGATAGATGTATATGTCTATGGGCCACAGCAACCACTTACCATGAGATGGACTGTGTGCTCGTTTGTCACCCTATCCTATAAAAAAGAAAACCACGGCTACCTTCAGTTTAAAATTATTAATCTTTGGTCCGATCTACGCAGAATCTGCTTAATGGTACCTTAAGTCTTTCAGTTGTTTGCTTGGGTTGGGATTTAATTTTATTAATTATCAAATCTGGCAGATATTTCCCGTGAGGTGGCGACAGTTTCTTAGCATCATTATAATTAGACAGTTGAAACTTGATAAACAAGTAACGAAAATGAGACTATATGATGTATAAGGTACGCTTGTAAAAAGTTGGTATCTACGTAATCATCTATTAAAGACACGTGACAGAGCCATGCTACAGCTATATTAATAGTATAGTTGTATCACGAATGGGTCGGCTCGACCGGGGAAGGACCACGCTCTCACAGAATACCAGCGTATAATAGCAGCTTAACACTGCTGTGTTTCGTATGGTGAGTGAGGAGAACCGGAGACCCTTTTTACAGGAAAAGAGGCATTCCATCTCAGTCCTCGGGGGTGACAACGCATCTGCATTTTGATTCGTAATACAAGATAAATGTAGATGTCTATGGGCCACAGCATCCACTTACCATCACGTGGACTGTGTGCTCGTTTGTCATCAATATTCTATAAGAAAAATACG